AAAAAAAAAATGTCAGGCGTGCAAAACACCCAACGGAAAGCCTCGTGCCTCCCATCTCACTCCATTTTGTTTCTTTTGGTATCCCCCCCTCTCCACACATTTGTTGTTTGCGTGTACCTATTCACGATCAAGTACACGCTTACGTTTCGCTTTGCACCACGCATTACAAACCTCTCGTTATTTCACTCCACTTATTCACACACTCAATCCGCGTCTCTCTCACGACCTGCTGCAAGTCTCTGCCGCATTTCCTCCTGCTGCTGTTCAAAGGTGCGAGATGTGCTCGTCACGCGCAACATCGTCTGTGATGCGGAGAGGCGCGCAAGACGTCGCGCGACGGCGTCAGCCCCCGACACGCGCACCTCCTGCCCATCGACGAGATCTTGTAGCAACGCTGTCTCCGCCTTATTCGTCGCCGCCCGCCGCCCATCTGCGGGCGAAGAGGCCTCAGGTGACACAGCGTCAACAGGCGCCCGCACTCGGTACACTGCCGCACCGCTCTCTCGCTTCACCTGCACGCTGTTTACTGTGCCCACAGCCTCCTCCTCTTTTTCTTCCTCTTCTTCAAGGAGTGGTGAGAGTTCCTGCGCCACCATGACGTGCTTCTTTCCTGTCGGAACCCGGTCGTCGTACTCCGCTCCGAGGTAAAACGTTTCGGTGAGACTCTCCTGCTCGTGAAAGAAGCGCTGCAGCGCGGGGTTGTGCAGGACCTTCTCTGTCACATACATCTTTGCTAGTTGCCGGCGCAGAATCGCCTCCTCCACGGTGCCACTGGCGATGAGTCGGTAGACACCCACGTCACGTGTCTGCCCTATACGCCATGCCCGCTCGCGCGCCTGCTCATCCGTGACGGGGTTCCAATCGGGATCAAACAACACGACGCGGTCGGCGCCGATAAGGTTGACACCAACGCCACCCACACGGGTGGTGAGCAGCGCCGCTACGATGCGGTCGTCCTCGTTGAAGCGGTCCATGAGCTCCTGCCTGTGGTGGCCGCTCGTGCTGCCGTCCATGCGGATGTAGGTGAAACCCTCTTGCTCGCACATATTCTCAATGATGTCGAGTACCATGCGGGTTTGTGAAAAGATCAGCACCCGCTGCCCGCCGCGCTGCCACACCGTCAGAAGCTTGCGTAGCGTCTGCAGTTTTCCACTACCCTGGTAGTTCACAGCGCGGTTGCTGCGCAGTGACGGGCGCGACGCGGGGCGCCGCCGTTTTGCCCCAGCCTCATCCTTGCCGACGCAGTCATCATCATCGTCATCAAATATGTCGTCGCCATTGGCAGCAACCTGCCGCAAGCGGAACATGTCGACATGGTTGCAAATCTGCCGCAGTTCATTCAGTACACGGAAGGCTTCTAAGCGAACGCTGCCGTTGTGGTGCTGCTGCATCAATTGGTAGCGTCGTCCGGCCGTATGAAGGCAGCCACTCGCGTCGCGACCATCGCGGTTCAGTTTGCCCATCATTTGCGTGTACGAGAGCGTGTTGCTAAGTAGTCTCTGCACACGTGGCGACATTAGCAGCTCCACATATGCTTCCAACTGCTCGTCACTCAGCGGGCAGCGAATGACGCGCTCGTACTTCTGCGGCAACGCGTGACTCATGACCTGCCGTTTCAGCCGACGAAGAAGAAATGGTGCAATGCGCTCCTGCAGCGCACGCGCGCATTCGACGGCGGTCGCAAGCATCAGTGATGACGCCCGCACATTCTTGCTGGCGTTAATCGGCTCCTCAAACTCCTCCACAAACTTGTTCATGGTGCTGAGCAGACCAGGCCTGACAAAATCAAACAGGCACCAGAGCTCTTTCAGAGTATTTTGTATGGGTGTTCCAGACAAGATGAGACGATGTGGTGTTGGAAACGACTTCACCGCGAGTGTGACGGTCGCCTCTGGGTTGCTGATCTTGTGGCCCTCATCGAGCACGACATACTGAAACCCCGCAGTGTGCAGGAGCTGACAGTGCTGTCGCACCGCTGTGTACGTTGTGAGGAGAACCGCCGCTGTACCCCGAATGGACGCAACGAGATCCTCGCGGCTCATATTCGATGCGCTGCTCTCGTGCATGACGCAGGTGCGCATGTACGGTGCCCAGCGGTGCATCTCCGCCACCCACTGCCGAAGCACAGTCAGCGGGGACACAATCAGACATGGGCCGCGCAGCTTCTGGGAGTGATGGAGGGCGTTCAGCATGGACGCTACTTGTATCGTCTTGCCAAGCCCCATTTCATCCCCAAGAATGCCACCAGACCTCTGCATGTGAAGCTGCAGCAGCCAACAAACGCCCTCGTGCTGATGTGGAAGTAGGCGGTCGTGAATCGACGCCGCTAACGAGATTCCAGGCACCAACGTCACAAACCTCTCGCACGACTCCTGCTTCACCATCACGCCGTCGTTCTCATCCCTTTTACTCTTGTCGTTTTTCTTGTTGCGGTCGCTACCACCTTGGAATACCTGCTGCAGCACCTCCTCACCTGCCGCATCATCCGAATCCTCCATGAGTGCATCCACGTCAATGGCTTCCATTCGACTGGCGCCAGTTGTCTCTGCCTCCTTTTCCTCTCTCTTCACCACATATTTCTTTTCGTCAAGTTTCTCCTCCACTTTCACACCACCACGCGATGATGATGCTGACTGTACAGCGGCCATGCTAGCAGCGGCCGCTTCCAACCGCTTCCGTTTTTCCTGCCGCGCGCGGAACGCCTCAAGGTCACCATCATCAGCATATTTTCTCGACTTTGACCGCACATCAGAGTTCGTCAGTGTGACACGGTGCAATGAAGGGAGGATGGTCCCACCAGCATACTCCACCGTCGTCAAGGGCACCACTGCTCCACTACTATTCACTCCACCACTTCCACTACGGCGCCGTAGCTCTGTCGCCACACCGGACTGCACGGCCAACGCGGCACTGCGCGGCGTTTCGCTGGCCCGCAGTGGATATCTCGCCCCACGTGCCACATCGCGACCCTCTGCTGGCGTGGAAGGAGCGTGTGTGAGTGCTCCCAAGGAAGCTGCCGCGTGTAAGCGACCTACAGCAACGCCAGGGACGCCGCCACTATCGTTGTTATTGCTCGTGGATGTTCCTGCGGTCCCAGGAACGTGCGCTCGCTTCTCCACTGCATTCGCCAGCTCTGCCACTTTTATACGCCGCTTCGCCTCCTCCACACGTCGCTGCTGTCGTGCCTCCATCTCGAGCTGCCAACGGTGCAGCAATTTCGCACGGCACTCCACCTCCCGTTGCGCCCTCGCAAGGCGAAACCGCAGCACTGCTACACCATCCTCTTCATCTTTTGTCTTGTCCCTCCCCACCACCGTCACCCCCGGCGGTGCTCCTGCTACTCCTGCTGCGGCGTCCACCTGCTGCTGCACTCCCGCGACGACGCGCTCCATCTCGTCGAGTGCAGCCCAACGGCGACGCAACTCCGCCTCATCGGCAGCAGACTCCGCGTCCACGTGTGCATCAACCTTCGCCACCACATCGTTCCGCAGAACGGACTCCTCCACCCAGCTCACACCCAACCGCGAAAGCTCATCGGCCATCCTAATACAAAGGAAGAAGAAAGTCACAACGAAACAAACATTCCACAAATTTATCGAACACATTTCAACGCAAACGGACGCACGAAAAGCGCTACCACCACGTCCGGTATTGCCTTTTCAACCTCCTTCACCGTGGGCCCATACAAAACAATAGCGATGTCCCGCTACCAAC